TTTTGGACTACATTTTTGGATTCTGCGCATAATTTTACATGGGAAATGACCATCAGCGTACAAAGTTCAAATATGCTGTAAACTTGTGAAATCATTAAAAAATCCTATGCGACTTCGGAGACTTAAACATAAGTATGCAAATGTAAAACTTTTCAAAGTCGTAGAGTTTTAAAAGATGCTGAATCTTGAATTTCTGTGTTCGGGATCTTCAAATATTGTTGATTTCTGAATTAACTAGATAATTTCTAGATTTTTCAAAAATAGTTCTTCTTAAGATATATTGGAATTTTTCCTAATACATAATTTCCTTAGAAACATCTCAAGAGATCTTCAGAGTTGCTTTCTAGATTCTTCTAACAATCCCTTGAAGTTTTTTCTTCAATAACAGCCCTCGTAATTCTTTGCACACCATTTAGGAATCCCCTCCAGGAAACGCTTATAATTTACTCTATATTTATCTTAGTACATTTTCTCCGAAATTCACGTGAGAATGCGCTCAAAATTTTCACCATAATTCTCTTGCGAAGTTACCTTTTGGAAATTTACGCTTGGAATTCATCTTGAAAATCAAAACAGAACTATCATGGAATTCTCATGATTCATAGAAATTCAGCATAGCAGGCTCAATGCATTTTCAAATTTTCATCAGATTTCATTTAAATTTCTTCAAAACATTACGATTAGATTCTTTTCAGTTTGTCAAGGATTCTCCTAGGAATTTTCTAAAAAAAATCTTTTAAATTCTTAATTTCAGTGGCCATTCATCCAATATTGTTGATTTCTGAATTGACTAGATAATTGCTGGATTTCTAGAAGATAGTTCTTCATATGATATATTGGGATTTTTTCTCAAGAATTTCCTTAGAAACATCTCATGATGTCTTCAGAGATGCTTTCAGGATGTTTCAAGCATTTTCTTGAAGTTTTTTTTTTCATAATAACCTTCGTAATTCTCTGCATATCACTTTAGAAATCCCCTCCAGTAATCTATCGAAATTCTCTCTACAATGAACTCTCATGAGAATTTGCTTCAATTTCTCACTATAATTATCACTGACATTCATTTGAAATATTCTCCTGAAATTTCTTGGTGTTTGTGCTTGTGATTTTAGGAAGTATTCTCCCAGAATTTTATTGGAATTTACTTCAGAATTGCAAGGAAACTTTCCTGAGAATTCCTTTGAAATTCTTCGCAAAATTCCCTAACGAGATTTTTTTTAGAATTCAATTGAAAGTTTGGTTTCCTTGCATATTTCATCAGAATATCCTGGTACGCTACTCAGAAAATCTTTGGAAATATGCACAAAACTCCCTGTGGATTCAACTATTTGAATCCCTTGCGAAAATTCTCTTTAAAATTTTATGAATTCTCTTAGCAATTACCCTTAAACTAGCTTGGAATTCTGCAAATATATAGCTGTATTCAGAATAAGATTCAGTTGAAATTATTGTCGATATCGAAGCTCTCCTCAGAATTCTTCTCTTTGGAATCTTTGATTGATCGATTGAATGATTAACAATTAAAATATTTTCAGCCAAAGGAAATCATTCTATTCCGAATTACCTTAGAATGCTGGGAATGAACTACTCATTTGCTTTAGAATTCCCTGAATTCAGTAATTTCTTGAAATACTTCCCAAAATTACCTAGAACTTCTAGTCAAATGCCTTTGAAATTCTCCTCAGAATAAAATTTTAATTATTTCGCTACAATTCTCCTCAAACCTAATTGGACATTCTAATCAAAATTCTATAAACAACACTTCAAAGTGTTAAGGTGACTCCTTGAAGAGCCGTTACTTTAATTCGCGATAAATCGGCGATTGACGTGTTTGTTAACAAATGCAATTACTCTCAAAACTCAAATCACTCCGGATATGCGTTTTTCAAACAAGTAATATCTGATTGTTTAAAGAAAGTCTATGGTCAACTCTCAATGTATGAGTCGGGTGGGAAAGATAGCCTGATTTCTATACTTGGAGTTTTAGGTGATATTCCTGGAAAAACCTGGAAAACTCTGGGAATTTTATTTAACAAAACTAGTAGATATAGACACCCGCAGAGATTTTTCTCGTCACAAAATTCCAACTCCAAATCAATTGACGTGCCTATATTTAATTTTCAGAAAATCTACTAAAGAGTTCTTTAAATACTTTTACCGATGTGTTTAGTTATGAACATCCAGCGTTCGCTTTGAGAACTGTTCGAGAACGATTGTCTATTTTTGGTCCTCTGCATTTTTTTTTGAGCTCGGGCTATCCTTGTGCTGGCGTGTAGCTTTTCGGTGTTCGCATTATTTGAATAGTTTTGTGTCCCGTCTCTTTGTTGCCGGTGTGACTCGACCGCGCTGATCTATTGGTTGGTTTTTGCGATGTGCATTGCTTTTGTGCACTGAGTGATTTGAACAAGAAAAGTGATATTTAGTTATTGTGTGGTTTGCATCGCTAGAGGAGGAATTGTTTTAAAATGACTAGAGAAAAATATACGTGAGTACGTTCCAGTTAAAGATTGTTCTTATACATTTGTCGAATGCATTTTCGATTTTGTAGGCATCGCGTTTGATGGTCGGTTTGGTGTGGCTCGTCCGCGTGTGCTGGTTCTCCTATCGGGTAGAAGAAAATTTCCCCTATCTGATGGTGGTGTTGGCATGCGTAGGCGGGATGCCGGTTGCGCTGGATTCGGGTCCGATGTGTTGTTTGCGGGAGTGGATGCGGGGGAGTAATTGTGATTTATTTTCATTGTTTCCTATTTGCCAGAGGGATGGCCTCGATTGCGTGAGGCATGTTCCTCGATTTTTACGGTTAGTTGCCTACGAATAATTCATTATGATTTTTGACGTAGGATTACGTCTTTCGGCAACATATTGGGGGTGCAATTTCAAAACACCAAAATCGACCGCGTTACGAATAGTGGTCAGGTTTTGGCCACTTTTAACTCTGTGACTAGTGGATGGATTTTAATTCTAAACAAGCCAATCGATTGGAAAATTTTCTACGAAGTTACTAAAATGAACACTTTATCAATTTTCAATAGGTCACTATTGCAAATTACACAAATGTCAAACTGTTGCAATGGTTATCAAAATTATCACCGATTGCCTGCAAAAAGTGGTTTCCCTAACACAGTCGCCAAATATTGATACCGAGCTAGTAATCCTACGTCAATTTTACGGCCGTATCTTTTACTTTTTTTTATATTAAAGCATCATTTGTTAAGAAAATAAATGTCGCGATCGAACATGCAAGCTTGGCACTTGACCAATTAGTTTTTGATGTGTTGTTAGGTGTGTCCTTAACACGATCATGAAGGCGGTGGATGAAGACTGACGGTAGTCACGACGGGTCGTGTTTGATTGTGTGGTTTGGTGGTTTTGATGCGGTAGTTTGACGCATAATCGGGGCGGTCCGGTGAAATATGAAGGGGAAAACAGTCGTTTTAAAACGCAAAAGAGTTTAGTCGAGATAGCTTAAAAGATGTGCAATACTTGAACGCTGGTAAAATTATCGCGTCAGTCGTAGTTTACCTTATGAAGTAAGGGAAACGGTAGCAAAAAAAAAGGAGGCTTATTCTTGTGTAAAGGGCACCGCCGTCGAGTTTGAGTTTGAATAAATCCCAGGTCCTATCATATTAAGGAGGTTTATAGAAACATTGCTTGATATTTTGTGAAACTTAACATCGTTATCAACGTCACCGTAGGGGCCGGTTTTGACTGGTTGCAATAACAACGCGATCGTAGCTTGTATGATGGGATATAAGGGGCTTGGTGGCCTTAAAGCGACCATTTTTGCTTACTGAATAAAACATCATGAGTTTAATCTCAAGTCCCTCCACATTCAAGATTCGTTAATCGCTTGGTTTGTTAATGTGAACACATTGGAATAACATCAAACCGATCATTGGTGTGTTGTAATAAAAGGAGCTCGTTTGCCTAGTGGCAAACGTTTTTGCTTACTGAGCAGAATATTCTGTTATACATGTTTAGGGCCTTTTTCGTGTTTTTAGTTTTTATTGGGTTTTTAGTTGTCTTAATTGTGTTTCTTTTTTCTTCATTCCCACGATTTTCAATTTTTCAGTTACTGCTCTATTTAGCTGATAAGCCATAAATTCGAGGTTATGAAAAGTTGAAGTTATAAGAAACATGTAAAATCTATACTTTTGTTTAATAATAATAAAAATAAATATAATCAGTGATTCTATGCTTCGCTAGAATTTAATTTACTTTTTATTGATAATCTCCAAAAGACGTGCCAATGTCTTCTGCTAACCGCTGTCCGCGTTCCACTTAATAATCGCTCCCGCGAGTTGAGAATTTTTTTGCGTCCATTCCCATCCAACCATATACAAATGGGTAGTTGATGTAAAACGTAATTTTTCAACATATTTAAAAGTAAAAAAAAAATATGTTGGGTGAGATTAAAGAACCTCTCACTACACACAAATTCGTTCAATTTTGTATAGATTTATGCACCATAAAATTCGATATTCAATAACTCAAAAGCATGTCTGGATGTCATCTACCGATTAGTATGGAAAAGTTCAGCTTCACGTTCTAGCACTGACAAAACATCAGTTTAGCTCAAAATGACCATCAAACCCCACTAGCCCCCTACGCATTCGAAAGGAAAATAACATCACAATGCATAAGACAGAAAATCAACTCGCCCCAAGTTCAAGTCACTCTCACTCCTTTCCCTACCGCCCTTCTCCCACCTCAGCGGAAAAAAATATGATCGAGCGATTGAATGAGTGAGAATGAATACCAGGTTACTTTAGGCTCGAAATTCCTCCATTGCCGTTCCATTCGCTCATTGTGACGTCGAGCGGGACCTTCAAGTTTATGTCGTGGGATAATAAAATGAGCTGAAACATCTCAATACTCCTCTTGGGTGTTTCTACGCCAACTTGTATAGGACGAGCAGAATGAGAGATTCTCTTATTGGAATAAAAGGACCCGTCGCCATCTTGTTTCCAATTTGTTTTATTTGCAGTAGAAAAATCGTAAATTATTGGAAAATTGTATACATTTATTCTTGTCTTATGGGATTGTATTCAATCGTAATACTATCGGGTCATTAATCAAAACATCAGTCTCTTAGCAATTAACTTAGTCGATCGTTCTTATCCTTAATTCTAGTCCTGTCTCACATTCGTTTTTTTATCGTTCACTTGAGCTGTATAAATTTGTTATCTAAAAAAAACCTATTCGTATGGCAAGCCGAAAAACTTGAGTTTGCGCAATAAGCAGTCCTTAACTAGATGCGTTCAAATTCACACTTGTATTGTAAGTTGGATTGATCTGTTCGAGCTTATCAGCTAGTAGTAGCTGCTGTTCCTGACCTAGGTCACACGAGTCTTCTAAATATTGCTGATACCGGTGTCATTGCTCCGACTCGAGGTAGTCGATTTTGAGCAGTAGTTTTCGAGTTTCTCAAACTCCGTCGATCTGGTCGGAGTGGCAGTGGTCGCGGAGGACATGTTCATCATCATGTTGTAGTTTCGTTCTTTCTTGCACACCAAAGGATAGCAGATGAAGCCCCAGTAGGCCCCGGCTCCGATCATGATCACAAACATCACGATCGAGATGATTCCCCAAGCGGAGATACGGTTCGTCTTGGGAGCAGCCGTGGACTGCTGACTGGGGGTCGTCGATCGGTATCGGTTCGGATCTTCGGGGTTGCCTAGACCTCCTGGCATGTAGAATCGTTGCGGGCTCAAACTGCGGGAGTAGGAAGCTGCAGGAGCACCACTGTTGGCGGCGGACAGACCGCCATAGTTGTAGAGACCCCCGCTCCGACCTCCGCCAGAGCTACCAGCATCAGCTGAGCAACACACGATCATGACTGCAAAGAAGGAGAACAAGTTTTTGTTCGTTCATATCAGATTGGATTTTCTCGAAATCAGATCACACATTCTCGCTTTCAGACAAAGGGTTTCAGATGCACAAGGCATAAATCAAAAGAAACATCATAGGATCGAAACATGTAGCAACCGTCCGAAGGAGAATTCACCCACACCGACGCAAGAGAAATTGTGTGTGCTGAGAACAAAAGGGAACTACCTGTGCCTGGACCGATCTCACCCGTGAGCCATGGACAGAAATTAACCTTTGCATTAAACGAAAACAACCTTCGAATACTTACATCCGCTGAGGAGAAACCACGAAAGAAGTTGCTTGTTGAGCATTTTGCTGGAACGATTTCCGTGTGAGGTTCTTATATTTACACACTTTACACACCTCGGTGAGCAAGATGGTTCGTCTTACAACACACACGCATACACTTCAGTATCACCCCTCGAGTGTAGTTCCTCCTGCTGCAGTAAAGGGGCTGCTTGATGGTAGCAGCATCAGGCAAAAAACAAGCTTTCCTCCGTATGTTTATACGTCCAAGATCGGTCCTCTTCTTGATCGTCGTCTTTTTCGTTGCACTGCGCTGTCTTTAAGCTACCAGCAAGATCACCACCTAAACCTCGATGCACTGCAAAACCTGCACTAAACACACGAAAATTTAATCAATTAGTGTCACCCGCACTGTCCGGTAGATGATTGATAAGCAAAATCACAGTTTGTCAATCGAAATTCGCCGAAAACCGACGACCTCACGGACAGCAGACGCGCTTCCTCACTGAGCGATATCAACCCTGACGCATACTTGTGCTACTCACACTCACGGAATCGGACTGAACTCTGGAGAACGTTCGACCACGGATCGAATCGCTCACAAACGACGGCAGTCTCAGCGACATACACTAAATGGGTGAGTTCCTCTTGTGGTGCCGCAGGCCATAATCATCTCCCCCTTTATGCTGTCAGTTTCTATGCGACCGGATTGTACATACACATAAGCTATGCCGAGAAGGAGTCGAGCGAGAGCGCACACGACAACATGTAGAAAAGAGGTTCTCAGTCTCAGACAGAGCGCTGTTGTTGTTGTTGTTGTCGTTGTCGAGGTTGGTTTATGTTTACGTTGATGCCCACCGTTGATACACGACATGATGATGATGGTGATGCGGGCGCTGCGTGGATGGAGGGTCATTGCCGGGTGGGTTCTCGACTCGGTTGGCTTGTTGCTGCAGTGTTGCCTGTTGAGGTGGATGGTTTTGATGTTGTTGATTTTAGGTAGATCCAACTCAGCTCCGGAAGATCCGGAACAGTATGGAGAGTTTAAGACTCACGGCTCATTTTTTGTGGAAGAACCGGATCGTTGGATCAATAATCTTTTCTTTGAGTTCTCAGATCGAATACATTAGGGATTCAGTTGCCAAAAATTACTTGTTGTTCTTGGTGAGGGCCGTTTTCGGCACCCCCTACTGAATACGGTGCTGAAAAGAACTATTAGCTTCACCTTGCCAGTCCTAATGAATATTGGATGAAAATGAGTTGCTTAAGAAATTATTCTGCGTTAAAAAGAGAACTTCCATAAAATTTCAAATTGAACTCAAAGGGTAAAGTGATCTGGTGAACCGTTGAAAAGATCCGGATCACCTATATGAATGAACCGGCTCCGAGCCGTTCACCTAAGTGATTCGTTATGCCCATCTCTAGTTTTTGGATCTATAGAATAGAGCACTACTTCGCCCTAATCGCCCATTGTGGGCCTATCGAGCAGAAAACATCAAAAAAATCCATTGTTTCAGAGTTAACAATTCAATTGTGCGTTTGGTACGATACTTTAGTTCAATAGCTACCGAACGAAGTCAATGAAAACGCGTGATATGAATGTTTACACCCATTTTTCTCAAAAATAAAAGCAGTGCTTCGACCGAATCAATTATTATCTTCATCCGATAGGCCGAAGTGAGTTCAATGGCGTTTCAATGCATTGGGCCTAATTTAGAATCTGTAGGCCGAGTTTGGGGTCAAGGAGCAGTGTTAGCTTTTTAACAATATCTCAACAATTTGTTTCTCTTTAGCAGTGAAAACATTGCATTTTGTGAAAAAAAAATCCACAAAGGGCAAAGGGCGGGTTGTGCTTAGTAGGCCCAAAATTAGATCTAAGCCCTAGTACACTGAAAAAAGTTTTCACATAGTTTATTTAGGGAACATACATAATATTTTTCCGATAGCAAAATTAATGATTTTTATCTGTATTTCACATAACATTCTATGTGTGTCATCACATACATTTCATTGAGCAGAGTTCATACGATTTTGTGGTGCAATTTTCAATTATGAAATCATATGAAGTTATGTGAAATTCACTTGGATTTTTTTCCATCGGATATGTGTTTAATTTTTTTATGTTAAAAATTTAACATCGACAGTGAGCATTCATAACGACCCAAGATGCAAACGCAACAATGGCAAATTTCGCGTAATTCAAAGTTTATTCATGTAAGCCACAAATCCCATCGGATAGAACAGCATTTGTCAACAATATAGGTCAACCATAGAAGTCAACCAAAGGTCGGTTGCAGCTATTTATATTCATGTAGGAATCATCTAATCTAATCTAATCTAATACAAACGCAGCTAGCATGAGAAAGCATAATGGAAAATAATTAGGTAAGATAACACCTAATAATCTGCCTAATAAACATCAAAACGGCCAACCCTACTACGTTGCATTTGCCGCAAAGACGATTCTTTGAAATCATTCGTGTTCAAATAGAAATATTAAAACAACAAAGCATTTCTGAATCCGCAGGGGTAGAAAGAATCATCAGAATTTAACTAAAATGAAAATTTGCATGTTTTTAATTTTGTATTAGCAAAAATGGCTTAAATTTCAAATTATTGAAAAGTGGCTGAAGGTGAAAACTAAATTAAACCCAACTTGACAGAAACCATTTAAGTTTTCTTACCATAAAACAAATCTTTTAACGGAATTCTTCACGAAGATGAGTGTACTAAATAAATGTAACGGGTTGTTTTGGCGTTTTTTTTAGAGCTATTAGTGTTGGGGATAGGCATGGCTTAGTGTTTAACATCTATGTCTCTAACGCTGAAGATCATGAGTTTAAATATCATCCCCGGAAAAGTAATGAATTACCAAAAATGTTTTAAGGGGGTAAATACAAGTAACACGTCAAAAACTCGACGATTTGCAGATTTTTTTTTTGTGATCAAATGAAACAACGCAAACGTTTGGGGTTTTTTGCATTAAATTGCTTAAATCTTCCTCTACATTTGAGATTTTTTACATTGATGTGTGACATCTGTGGCTCCTTGGGGTCACATCGGAAGGAGGTCGCCTCCGGTGGGGATTGGTAATTGGCAGGCGTTAGAGACCTAAAAATGGACAAAACTTACTTTTATCAATTGGACCTTATTCAGAAAAGATTTTTGTTCTATGTAAACCTCTAAAACCCAAAAAAAAAATACAATTTAAAAATTTAGAAAAAAATATCTGAATTTTCACTGTTTTTTTCCACTTTAGGCAGACCTGAAAATTATTTATTGTTAATTTTTTTCATGATATCAGTGGTTCACATTTTTTGTTACACAAAATATAATGTTGATGTCTTCTAAATGTACTTACATTTCTTCCGTACTATTCGTATTCTAATTTCTGATGTAAAGTGAATGGACCTTAAATAAAAAAAAAGATGATGGACTTTGCAAAAACGTATTTGTGAAAACTTAATCTGAAGTAAACATCTTCGGGGTTTTAAATTTTTGTTTTCAATTTGAATTCAAAATAACCATGCAATTTTATTCACGATTCCCATTATAGAATTCTTCAAACCAGTAAACTTTCCTCGTAATTAAGTTTGAATTCTCTTTGGAATTTCCTTAAAACCCCTTCTACGAATTTGATTGGAATCCTCCTCAGAATTCCCTTGAACCTATTCTGAGAATGCTATTCCTTTGAAATGCTTCTAAAAAAACTCTATTCAAAACTCTTCGCAGCGGCACCGGTGGTGTAGTGGTAAGCGTGATTATCTCTCACGCCAGCAGACCTGGGTTCAATCCCAGTCGGCGCCGCCGGGATGTTCTGAGGCATAACATCTCTGATCACGCCTTGCTTCGGAAGGGAAGTAAAGCCGTTGGTCCCCGGTTCATGAGTTGATGGGTCGATAGGTAGGGTCCAGGTGTGGAAGCTGCCTCTCTGCACTCCGGTGGTATTTTTTTTCCTTGATTTTGTTTTCCGTCGATCTTGTTTTCCGTGCTGAGCACCAATGCTACCGATGCCAGGAAGGCAGCTCCCACACCTGGACCCTACCTATCGACCCATCAACTCATGAACCGGGGACCAACGGCTTTACTTCCCATCCGAAGGAAGGCGTGATCAGAGATGTTATGCCTCAGAACATCCCGGCGGCGCCGACTGGAATTGAACCCAGGCCTGCTGGGGTGAGAGGTAATCACGCTTACCACTACACCACCGGCGCCGTTCCACTCCGGTGGTAGAAACGTCATCCACAAACAGTTTGCTTGAAGCCAAAGTTGTTGGTTCATTGGCTTCATTATTTGCTAATCTAAGACATCTAATGCAAGCATTGAAAAATTATACTCCGTCCACATAGGGGAAATGACGGCTTCGGCATGCCAGACTATTTTCGGCAACCCAAATTGAAACACTATTTTCACTGGATTTTCTTACGAAAACACTTCGCTGAATGCATGCAAACGATTCTTTATGCTTTCAGCTTCAATTTGACTATATTTTTACCACTGAGAAAAAGCAATCTAGTAAGGTTTTTTTGAAATGAAACACACGCACTACAAATTGTAGCTGATTTCGAGTTGCCGATAATAGAACAGCAGATTTACATGCAGTTCAAATGGAGCGGTTGCCGAAGAAAAACTGGTTGCCGACAATACTCGCTCTCACTAGAGAAGATTGAAGCTTTGTAAAAGCGTTTCAAAACAGTTTTTGACAATTCTTTCGACTGAAATTGTTAGAGCAGCTGGCAGCAAAAGATTGTAAACAAACCAATACTGCATATGCGTGCGTTCCTTTGAGAAAAAGGCTATAGAAAGAAGGTCGCTGCTTAGGTTCCCTCCCCTTGGCTAGTTTTTGCACCTTGCTGTTGGTGGGCGGGCTTAATTTCATGCTTTATAGTGGAATGTTTGAGACGGTAGGTTTATGGTCGGCGTTGCTGGCTCATGCCGCGATAGAATGGCGCCATGGGCAAGCAATGGGGATTACTAAGCTTCCCCTCTCTGATAAACCGCTGCATGTGAGAACCAAAGATCTAGTCTAGCAGTGATAGTATCACACTTGTTACTCCTTTTATTGAGAGCCGCGTCGTAGTACGCTTACGTATAGGCACTGACGTTGGGTGTGATACTGGCGGGTTTTTCCGCTAATCACTCTTATTTTATTTATTTTTTACGCAGATAGATTTATTTGGGTTTGCAAGGGAATTATACTATTGAAATATTTCAGAAAGTGCCCAACAGTGCTCCTTCTATTTGCGTGACAAGCTTTCATTGTTGTTTTCATTGAAGCATTACTCAGGGAACAATATTAAACACCACCATGGTATTGTAACTAATCTTATATATGCTTCATTTTGGTTTGGGATAAGTGTTTGAACTATGGCTCGGGATTTTCACTGTGGCGTGCTTCTATTGTGACATATCCATACGTAATTTTGTGGGACGACATAGTGGAAACGTGTGAGTGTAGTTGGAGCATATACCTTATATAATTTAAAAATGAGCTAGGAAACTAATTTCAAAGTGAAGCATTTTAGTCACTTGAAGGTGTCACCTAGGTCGATCTAAGATATAATAAATATAGATCAA